TCGACGTCAGTGACAGCGGCAGTTATACAGCTGCGCAAGTCTTGGTTACCAGAATGGTTTATTATCACGCAACAACACAAAACGGAAAAAGAAAAAAAAGTATTGTGGGGTTATTTTATATGGTCCAACTATAAGGAGCAGGATATCGTCACGACTGACAAATGATAAGGCAGCGATTAACTGAAGAAACTAATCGTTTAATAGGGCGAACTTGTGCCCAAAACAAAATAGAAAAAGGCTAGCGTCACAGGCGTTGATGTCAGCGAAACAGCAGGATCGAGCGCTGTGGCGAGACTGACTCTGGTCCACCACACGGAGCACCTTTGTACACGCGTGGGTTTCTGGAACATTCGGCGTAGAAAGTTCGCCGTGTAGAATATTCGTAACTCGATCAGACGACAAGGTTCTCGAAGGTACGAGAATGTCAAGTTCAAAAAATAAATAAAGGAGGCGTTCGCTCCCTGGCATCGAACCCGGAGCCTCCGCGCAAGAGCCAAACGCGGTAACCATTCGGCCACGCGCTCGCTGGGAAACGCGCGTGGCTATTGAGTTTCAGCGAATATAGGAGGCACTCCGATCGATCCAACATGGCGGACAAGAGGGGGATAGATTTGCGACGCCCGTAGACCGGTAGCGTATAAATTAAACAAAGCGTGTCGTTCTCTGTTTGTAGCCGTGTGCGAGACGATCATCACTTCAACCAAGACCTACCGTGATGCTACAAATGAAGTGTTCAAGCCAGTCGAAGGCAAGAAATCTTGCCATAGTCAAGATATGTGTGCAAGTGTGTGACGTGAGCTCTCACGTTATTTGGTGCAGCTGTCGTCAAGTTGAAACGAATGTACGCGGGCCCAAAAAAAGGTACTTATCAACAATGTTCGCGCGTTGAAACTATGACGCGTAATTTATCTGAAACTAAACTTATCGGTCTGCTGCTACAAACATTTTTGTTGACGTTGCTTAGGTGATGTAACCATTCAGGCCTCGCATTAAACGGTGTTGCGAACACTTAGGTTGTTCTAGTTAATTGGGCTAAAAAGCGGTTAAACGTAAAGTATGACAGCTATAGCATACAACGGGCGATTGAGGTCTTTATCCTGCGTTCTATATATCGAAACATCGGTATCCTTGATGTTATATTGCGATCAGCTGGTCGCCGATCGTCCTGTTTTTACGCATAATATAAACAAGCCCCGAAAGCGCCAATCTCATTTCAATGTGCTTTTGCACTCTTACAAGCCTCCTTTCGGCTCTTGTGGAAAGCTTTATTGTAATAGCAATAGTCTGATCGGTCATTCGAGTTGTATGTGCCACAGTGATATCTGCTGTGTGTGATCTGCTGACAAAAAAGTCTGCATTAACTGTCAGAAGGAGAACACCGGTAAAGCTTTTTTAACTTTTTCTTTTTACAAAACAGGGCAAGGATTCTAAAACAAGAGCAACCTAAGCTGATATTTGAGTGTGCTCAAGAATGAATGGCAAAAGGTGCTTATGCTAAGTGATGGATGTACACAGTTGATTTTCGTTTTGCCTGTGCATTGCAAATTGGAAGATATGTATCAGCAGAAGACATGCGTCTTTTTTACAATGTCTTTTATTAGGGCTAAAATAGGTTTTCATACACAACCGAAGAGTTCGCAACACCATTTAATGCGAGGCCTGAATGGTTACATCATGTAAGCAACGTCAACGAAAAGGTTAGTAGCCGCAGACCGATAAGTTTAGGTTTAGATAAAGTATGCGTCATAGTTTCAGCGTCAAACGCGCTCACATTGTTGATATGTACCTTTTTTGATGACAACTGCACCATCGTGAGAGAGCCCACGTCATCAAACCCTTGCACACATATCTTGACTATGGAATGGCAAGATTTCTTGCTTGAAGCGAAGATCATCTCGCTACGACTAGCTACGACCACTCACCACAGCGATGCAGGCGTCAAAGGGTCGCAACGCAGTCAGTCGCCGTCACCCGACGCTGCTCGTTTGGCATTCACGGCTTTCCGCCCAGGTGCTTCGTTTGTACTTGGCACCGAGTGTTATTTTCTGTGCTTGTGTGTGTGCTCAGTGGCTGGATATGGGTCTCAAGAGCAGTTCTTCAGGCGCAACAGCGTTCGCCGAAGAACTTCTGAAGAAAAGGTCACCCAGGAAAAAAAGCACGAAGACACAACGCACCAGCTTGGCAAACTTTGCACTGGGCGTGGAAATCAGGCCCTGCGGATTACAGACCAAATGCAAACTATCTAAAAAAAAAACATTTTTAGGCTCAAATTGGTTTGTGCGGACTATACGCCTGGACACTGGTGCCTGTTATGCATTGCATATTCACTGCTCTTCGTTGTGGCTTGAGACTGCCTTCCTGTAATGATGCAGAGGGGTCAACTGAACCTTGAAATAAACATATTTAAGCACATCTAGATGCGATGTCCTTTGAAGCCAGATGGTCAGGGAAAAGGTGTGCCATTACCTAATTTGCCAACAGAACACCAATGGTCACGATCAAAATTTACCGAGTCAATAGGCAGTTTTGCACCACAATATTTATTTTCGTGTAATCACCAATTTGGTCCATTAAAAACCTTGAGGCTGTAGCCTATAGCACACCCATTCTGGATCTGCAAAGCTTATGCTGTAGACATCCATCATCACATGAGCATGTTTCTTATCAGCCTTAGACGTAAAACGCTAGTTATGCAACGAAATTACCATATCATGACATTTTTAGCAAACTGAATGGTCCCACCCGTTACACTTTTAGCTTTGGAAGTAAACCAATTCACAATACCACCAGTGGCATACATCGTGCCAAGCATTAGTGCCGCATATGGCAGCAAAATGTCATGACTAGGGAAGCAAACCTAATCGACCGTGTTGATTAAAGCACCTAGATACGGGAGAAATTATCAAAGGTCACTCGAAAGGGAAGTTTTCTCGCTGAACGAACATGGCTTTTTATTGGGCGTTCCGCAACGTAAGGCCGAAGACATTCACTCCGTGATCGGTACAGAAGCATTTGCTTAGCAGTCGGTTTTGCGTGCTAAAAACAACACAAACAAAGGTGGATTAGAAACGCGATAGATTCGCCTTTGCACGGAGTACTTACACTCAAAATCGTGTCAACATAAAGCTACTATGGCCCACGTTGCTAGCAGCAATCTTAAAATTTATCCGTATAGTCGTCACACCCGTGCACCAACCGAAAGCGTTGCTGCAAGCCCCTCCGCCATCAACTTTGAGTCGCTGTTGAGTCTGAAGAACTGCTCTATGAGGTCCATATCCAGCCACTGAGCACATCCACAAGCACAGTAAATAACACTCGGTTCCAAGTACAAACGAAGAACCCGGGGCGGAAAGCCCTGAATGCCAAACGACCTGCGTTGGGCGACGGCGACTGACTGCGTAGTACACAGGTTGCGCTCCTTCGACGCCTGCATCGCTGCGGCGGGTGGTCGGGTGGTCGTAGCTGGTCGTTGCAGATAGTGTCACCTCTGTTGCTCGTACCGGAACACTAGGGCCGCGTAATATTCTTGCTGCCGAAGTTTATAAGCCTATGTTCGCGGCCAACGCATTTACACAAAGCCAACACCCAGCGAACCTATCCCCCTCGTTCTCTTTCGGCGACCGGCCGCCAGGGCGGTGACACCGTCGCTGAAACTCCTCAATATCACCGACATATGTTACAAAACATTTCTGGGACAAGAAAGAGGTCGCTTTAGCTATTAGGGAGTAAATCAGACCGTGGCGCCCCAAGCGGTTAAATTTACAGCTACATGGACGGGGACAACAAGTACAATGACACAGCTCTCGGCTGATTTAACTGAACGTGGCGTCAGCGTTCGGCTTGAGTTCGTGTTCTCCGGTGAGGAGGAGGAGTGGCCCTTTTGTTACCACTCCGGCCTGCATGACCAATGCAGCATGCATGGTGCCCAGCTCAGCACAAAAGCCCAAGTGGGTCAAGCTCGCATCCTCTGACGACTGCTGTCGGGATAGATCCTTCACTTAACGTCACTTCACTAATTGTTGGTATTTTTACATTACACTGTGCATAATAAGTTTGCGGAATATTTTTAGTTAAAAATATTCCGCAAGCCAAAAGAAGAAACTTTAAAAATGTATGCACATTTTTGTGCACATTTTTGTCAAGGCAAATATGATTACAATTCTTGGCAGTGAATCAGTATTGAAAGAAATAGCATTGCTTGTTTGGAAATTTGACTACTTCCAGATTTTAATTACGTTGGAAACCGGCAGCTCATAGGCACTTTTAATTATGTCGAATATCACCGGCGATTTCATTTGTATGTCCACGCGGGAAAATGTTTAATAATTTGCAAACATGCAAATTATTAAACATTTTCACGCCTTTCTAGTATAATTGAATGCCAAAATGCTGCGGAAGCAGGGAAATGTCATAATTAAAATAGGTACCCCTTGCTCACACAACAAACAAAACAAAATTATTAGTAATTTGGCCTACCCTATGGGAGGCATCGTCAGTATTTGAACAGCGTGTGTAGGGGTCCAACTCAATACATGGCTTTTCATTTAGATTTGTTTGTTGTCTAAGTTTGGTTTACTTATTCAAGTTATAACTAACTTTTATTTTGTCGTAAACAGGACACTCTATTCGCATCCGTCAAATTAACTGCGAAAACGCGCAACTTCGCCAGGGGTCAAATCGAGGCAATGTGTTCTTAGATGTGTCGTTTGATTGAACCCTCTAGGCTGAACTACTTAACAAAGTTGGTTTGACTGGTCGATCGAATAGCAACGCAGTTACTTTGTCTACTGCACGGCACTTTAATTTAAAGCTTATTATCGCAATTATTGCTGATGACTTTATAACGGTAGTTCCGTGATATACATTCTGCTGTATAGTTGGGGTGTGTAGAACGGCATCACTCTAAACTGAACGATTTTGAGGCGCCCTGACTGACTCTCTCGTCGTTTCTTGCAGGCTCCCTGCTCGGACAGAACAGTCCTCGCGTCGCAGGTGGTCAAATGGAGTGTTCTCGGACTCGTGTTGCTGCTTGGCCGGACGCAGCTGGTTCGCCTCAAATCTCGACCCAGGGGTGGACCTTGCTGGACGCTGTTGGACCTCGCGTGCACGGTGAACGCCTCTTAGCTCTTTGCTACGCGATGTACGAGACAGTTTGGAAAAGTGGAAAGAAGAACTGAACGTCGGTTATAGCGGCACTCATGTACAACTGCAACAATTCGTCTGTAGCAAAAAAAAAAAAAAAAAAAGACTCGCGTTCTGCTAACCTTGTGCCACATTGCGCACGTAGAATCAGCCTTCAGCCGAATAAATGGCATCAGTGTCAGTGACATATAATGAGCGACCGTTTTACGAGTAGAATGATAGCCTCCTATATACTGACAAAGCCTAGCAGATCGCCAGAAGAAGCGGCCACGAAATGGAAAAGGTCAAGCAGCTGACAACGGATGAGAGGAGAGCCACGTGACTGGCACCCTGCTGCGGCGAGACGCCAAAACACACTTCTCCCGAGCGAACAAGTGTGTTTCGGGTCCTCGGCGCTGCAAAAGCTGCGCTCTAATGTCCAGGTTCCCCGAAAAATGGCTCTTTGATGTTCTGTGCTACCAGATCCTCGCGCTCCAAATCTACTACCGGGCACTCTATGGCTCCAACGTCGAACTGCCAGGCTTTGTGAGTATAGAGGAGGCTATAATAGAATTCACAGCGGCCACCAATGGAGATGAATGAAATTATTAAAAACAAGTACCTCTTCCCTCTTTATTGCGGCTGTTCGGTTGAAACGGCCGCCATTTTTTATTGGCTCTTTACCATGTGGCCACCGTTTGTCTACTCGGGCAACAGCACTGGCGACCCTCGGGGAGATGGAAGGCCCCGGTTGTTGGTTGTTCATGCCGGTGAATGTTTATTCGTTCGTTCCTTAAAACTATCAACAAAATGAGAACGACAGGGAGGAGCTTCAGTGGTTTTGCTTCCAGCGCGAGACTCCCACCTTCGACAATGCTTCGACGTCTCGTGCACTTCGAGCGAGCAGCCAAAGCACGGCGGAAGGCACGGAGGGCGTGCAGGAGGCCGGGCGTTCGAGACACACGCCCTGCTGCTTTTGTCATTCTGTTACTCACTACCAGACTTTTAAGGTACCCTTCACAAGTAGTCAGAATACTTGTAATCGATTAATTATGAGTGAACTGGTAATTAATTCAATTCATTAATTAGGAAGTAAGTAATCGCAAGAGTAATCTGATTGCTCTTGGAACTATACTGAAATTACTTGTAACCGCTACAACTTTCCCCTCCTCTTCGTAATGACGCCGTCTATTTCTACAAGTTCCCTACCGAGGGATACTTGAACCGAGTTTCCGACGGGAGGAAAGTTTACAAAAATTGGCGAGAAGATGCGTAGTTCGTAGTTCGGTGATTTTAACCCAATACCGTACAGTACAAAAAACCAGTTCTCAAACCGGCAGAAAAATATGTCGTTTGGAATATTTGAAGTCATCGGAACAGTAACGGTTTCTTTTTTTTTTCTTCAAATAACCGCCTAAAACATTTCTTCTTGTGTAATCGAATAATCTAATTTAATGAAGTTTTAACCAATGGCAATGGTAATCGCCATTGGTTAAATAGTGATTGCCATTGGTTTCGAGTATCGTGTACAAAACTGCTGACTATACACCAACACGCGGCAATGATGTCAGGCCTCTGCGGTGGCCCCGCATCTGTCCCTCTCCCGTTTCTCCACGCGCCGGTAACCTCTTTCCTCTTTCCAACAATGCGGTTTGTTGTTGTTTCGCGGAGAGGCCACCGCGCGAAAAAGGCGCTTGCTGAAGGGTTAACTCAGAAGTGACCCTGTGCTACCATTCAGGTAGCTAACCGTTCAGCGCTGCTCCACGCTTTCTTTTTTTTTTCCGGCGGCCGCGTGCTCAATGGCATCGTCGTGGAATCGACAGGGTTTCTAGAATAGAGGAGGCTATGGGTGGACGTGAGGGATCTGCGATTCAGGGGCCAGTTTCCCAACTGGATTGTCCTATAACACCGTGCCCTCTAGTCACCGATAAGGTGAGAACACCACCGTGTTTGTTTCGAGCTCCCGGCCTCCGGCAGCCCTTATTGTCTTCCGTCCTGCTTTTGACTGCGCGTGCACACTTGATTCGCCGAAGCGTTGTCCAAAGTGTGAAGCTCGCGCTGGAGGCGGGACAACTGAAGCTCGTCCCTGCCGTTCTTATCTCATCGGCGACGTTTAGTAACGTTTCTTTTAGCGATTCGTCGGCTCTGCTTTGGTTCACCTTCCAGAAGCATACTATTTATAGACGTTTTACACACGCGCCAGATTACAGCCGCCATTGCTGACCTTCTCTTGTTTTACCGAGATACCGAGCCACTGAAATTGGTGTGGACGAGCCTCCACAAAAGCCAATGCTGGGGAGAAAGACAGAATAAAATCTAAGATAGCAATAACCTGGCCTGCTATGGTAATAATAAAGTCAAATTTGGGGGTTTTACGTGCCAAACCAACGACGGGCATCTGGCACGCCCCAGCGGAGGACTGAGGATTAATTTGGACCACCTGGGGATCTTTTGACGTGCAACCGAAAGCTCGGTTACACGGCGCCTTCTCCGCAATAAGCCTCCGTCAGATTGCGGGCACCTCGGCCGGGATTCGAACCCGCCACATGGGGATCCGTAGGCCAGCGCTCTCGCCTCGGAGCCACCGAGGCGGCTCTATGGTAATAATGAAGGGAAGTAAACGTAATAAGGAGAGACAAAAAAAAAAGTGAAAGCCGTTTACAAATCCCTGTAACGCCGAATTGGAGCGCAGCTCTTGAGGAGGAGGAGTGAAGGGTACTGAGGGGAGGGTAGACCCCTCCCCCTTCTCCTCCTCCTCCCCTCATTCTTTAATATGCTCCGGGGGGGGGGGTGTCACGTGACTTCGGGGAGGGGGTCACGTGACCTCGGGGAGGCGTGACCTGGGGGTGACCTCAAGGCCACGTGACCCCAAAGGTGACCCCCACGTGACCTTGGGGTCACGTGACCTGGAGGGGTCACGTGACCTCGGGGGGTCACGTGACCTCAGAGGGGTCACGTGACCTCAGAGGGGTCACGTGACCTGGGGGTCACGTGGGGTCACGTGACCTTGAGATGACCTTAGAAGGGGTCACGTGACCTTGGGGAGGCGACCACGTGACCTCGGGGGTCACGTGACCTCAGAGGGGTCAAGTGACTTGGGGGTCACGTGACCTTCAAAGGGTCACGTGGGGTCATCTTGGGGTCACGTGACCTTGAGATGACCTTGGAAGGGGTCACGTGACCTCGAGGGGTCACGCGACCTTCAGGGGGTCACGTGGGGTCACGTGACCTTGAGATGACCTTGGGAGGGGTCACGTGACCTTGGGGGTCACGTGACCTTGGGATGACCTTGGTTACGCCGACGCCGACGGCGACGGCGACGGCGACGCCGACGGCGACGGCGACGCCGCTCAAGCCGGGAACGGGCCCCTAAGAGCTGCGCTCTAAAACTGAAGGTCAGTTATGGCGGTGCCCATGCACAGCTGCTGCAAAGAGTCTATAGTCACTTTTAAGAGACCCAGTGCGTGGCAATTACTGTCTTCCTTGCCTCAGGATTGACTCTTCGACATTCTCGTCGGTTAATAGCGCAGTCTGATTGGCTGCGGAGCGCTAATGAGATGTCCGGGATGCAAGAAGCACTGCATTTCTTAGACTGCCAATGGCCTTTGCACTCTGAGGGTGGTCAACAAAAATGAAAGCCGTTTACAACTCCCTGTAACGCCGAATTAGAGCGCAGCTCTTGAGGAGGAGGAGGGAAGGGTACTGGGGGGTGGGTCAAGTGACCTGGAGGGGCGGGGGTCACGTGACCTTGGGGGAGTCACGTGACCTTGTGGGAGTCACGTGACCTTGGGGCGTGACGTGAAGTCGGGGGGGGTCACGTGACCTGGTGCCACGTGACGATGCCGATGACGTCATCAGTGATGATGACGATGCGGATGCCGGTGACGTCATCAGTGACGTCACTGATGACGTCATCAGTGGCTATGACGTCAACGGGGGTCACGTGACCTCGGGGGTATCCCCAGGTCACGTGACCCCGGGGGGGTCACGTGACCTGGGTAATTATCGTGACCCTCGTGAGGGTAACCCTAGTAACCCTCGTGAGGGTAACTCTCGTGACCCTCGTGAGGGTAACTCTCGTGACCCTCGTGAGGGTAACTCTCATAACCCTCGTGACCCTCGTGAGGGTAACCCTCGTGAAGGTAACCCTTTTGAGGGTTACTAACCCTCGTAACCCTCGTGAGGGTTACGAGGGTAAGTAACCCTCGTGAGGGTAACCCTCGTGAAGGTAACCCTTTTGAGGGTTACTTACCCTCGTAACCCTCACGAGGGTTACGAGGGTTAGTTACCCTCAAAAGGGTTATCTTCACGAGGGTTACCCTCAGGGTTACGAGGGTAAGTAACCCTCAAAAGGGTTACCTTCACGAGGGTTACCCTCATGAGGGTTACTTACCCCCGTAACCCTCACGAGGGTTAGTAACCCTTGTGAGGGTAACCCTCGTGAAGGTAACCCTTTTGAGGGTAATGAACCCTCGTAACCCTCATGAGGGTTACGAGGGTAAGTAACCCTCGTGGCCCTCGTGATCCTCGTGAGGGTAACCCTCATGAGATTAACCCTCGTAATCCTCACGAGGGTTACGAGGGTTGTGGTTACGCCGACGCCGACGGCGACGCCGACGGCGACGCCGACGCCGACGCCGACGCCGACGCCGACGCCGCTCAAGCCGGGAACGGGCCCCTAAGAGCTGCGCTCTAAAATATCAATATAATAGGGATTAAAGGGGTCATGAAGCGATTTTCCTACTTCTTCCTCCTTAGCTTTAATCCTCAACTCAAATGCGAATTGTGAAATCACGTGGTCGTGACATTCCTTCGGCACCGGTGCGATGACTCCTAGCTTCCACCGTGCTTTTTATGCACACCATAGAACTTGTCGCACTCATTGGCCACGAACGCGAATCCAAATATTCGTGGACGGATTGATTGTTGACGAGCGCATACGTCCGAGTGACGCAGTTGTCGTGTCCAATGCGTGAGCTGCGCTCTGCTGACGTCAGTTTGGCGCCGGTGACGCGCTTTTGGAACCGCGGATGTATCATAGTGAAAAGGCGGAGAGCTTTCGAAGGCAAGAACGTACAAAATAGTCCGCTATATCTTGAAATGTTCGTACCGAAAAGCTGGCTTTTGACTTTCTAGCCTCTTTCTTTCGGCCAACTAAACGATATGCGATTAGTAAAGTCCCAATTTAAAATCATTCATCCCAACCCGAAATTCGTTTCATGGCCCCTTTTAAGGCTACAACTTGTCGGTTAAAATCGGAATGAAAACGATTGTGTTCAGTTCAAGTATAATAAGTGTTATTCAGCCCGATAAAACGTTACTTCGCAGTCTGGACCCTCGTTTGCTTCTCGGTTTAGAGTATTAAAGGGAAGATAGGGCACTTCTACATTTGAGAAAAAACGCTTGAATTGCGTTCATTTGGCCTTTAGAATAACAGATATCAAAATTATATTTCAATGCGACGCGCCGGAGAGCCACAAGAGCAATTTCAAAATAGGGCTGAAGCCCCGCCCCCCTAGCCTTGGGCAGCCAAAAGAGCCGTCGATGACGTCATGGACAGCGACAGTCTTTCGCGTTTTTCTCGCGTTTAACAATACTTACGCAGCAAATGGTTTGGGTATTCGGGTTCACGGGGTAAAAATACACTAGAATTCACTTCTAACTCATTTTTTCCAAGAAGCTCCGTAGCTTCCCTTTAATGCACGATGGCCATTTTACGATTTCCCTAGTTGACGCAGTAACAAACTTTTCTTACAGAGTCTCGTTTTGGGGTCGGCTGTTCTGGCTACTTTGAACGGGTACTACCAGCTGAGCGAAAACGAACCTACCGATTTCGTAAAAAAATCCACTCTCAAGGACATCTCGGCTGAGTTCGCCATGGCAGTTTCTCTCGTAAGTTGTTTGTACTCACTCTGAGAATTCTGTGTTCGAAATCAGTCATTGTTTTTTTTTTTTTTTTTATTATTGCCATTGAAGGTGAGCTTGATCCGACCGACGCTCATCCAAGGTTTTAAAAATTAGGTTATTTGTTAAACCTTGCTTTTGCGAATACTAGAACGTAGCGTGTGCTGAGTTGATGTAAACAAAAAACTAAACAATAAAGTGTTCCGGAGTTACTCGAGGAATGCATTCACAAAAAAGTGTAATAATTACGCGACTATTAAATACGATACGCTTTTATTGCTTTCAAGCGAAAGGGCTAGCGCGAAAAAAATGACAGAAAAGGTTTCCTCTATTGCCCAAAGTTTGTAATGTATGTCTTCGAAATATAAGAGACATCAAGAAATAAGATCCCACATAGGGTAACTGAGAGAAGAGCAGGGTGTGGTGAGCCCCGTCCAACTCATTATCGCTCCTCAGCCAATCAGACTGCGGCCTTGGCCGATAAGGACGCCGAGGAACCATTCACGATGCAAAGTGGAAATTCGGACCAAGTTGGTTCCTAGTCAAATATATGAAAGCGCCAAAAACGACAGAGTGGAAACAACACAAGGCGCACACGCAGCTGAAGTTTATTTAAGAAAAACCCATGCTCTAGACTTTTCCAGCCGCAGTATTGAACGAAGCGATTTACAGCGTGCGTTCTTGGTTTTGAGAGTGTACGTCAGTGTTGCCCGTCTGGGCTGGGCTGTGGGTTTTCTAATCAGTGGGCTGTGACAGCCTACATAGACGCAATTCTGGACGCTGGTAGCGGCTAAATTGCAGCGTTTTCTTTTTCAAATTGTGATCTATGACGTATATTTTTGGAGCATTTTTTTATTTTATTTTTTTTTATTTTTTGTACTCGGTAAGTTGTGTAAATGGGACGGGTAAAAACACGTATTCGAGGTAGGTTTGTACACGATACGTCGAGTCCCTGATTTTCGCGGGCAGTTTTAGTGCGGAAATTTTATGTTGAAACACCCCGTAGTCGTAGAGCGGCAGGTTTGTAGTGAAGCAGAAGCTGCAAGCGCGTGCATGTTGCTTTGCATAAAGCATGCGCTCCACAGGTGTGCGCACCTAACACATCATTTACACGAGAATGTTGCAAGCACCACGAGATCCCGCGTACGTGAAGCTATGCGGTCGCAAAACTGTCATGCCGACAAGCAGTAAGTACCTCGAGTAACGTTACATTTGTAATTGACGCTTGGATTTCTTCAAATGAGCTGAAACTTCAAAAATCTGCCACCAAACTCTACAAAGTGAGAATAAAAACAGCAGACTCGAACGCTCAAGGAGCGTTGGGTGGGTACGGCTCGTGTTCCGAACGTTCTTGCACTAGAGCAGGCAAACGTCTGCGCTGCTACACCGCTGAATATTCCCACCCGACCGACGCCTGTCAACCGGTAACCAGTGCATTTACAAATACGTACCTTAATGCCAGACTTGTCCAGATACCCAGTCTGCTTACAGAGGGGCACGCAGCAGTACGTTTTCATCGTGGGCCACGGAACAGACGGAGTAAGACTAGAGTCTATGATTTATGGAGTGTATGCAACAAAGCTCCACTATACCTGCCGGCTGCGGGATGGCGGTTGGCGCTGGTATACCGTCGCGTACGACAGATGTTTTTTGTTTTTTTTCGAGCGGCCTATTTCCTGGTTTTCACAGTGGAAGATAACACAAGAAGTGGAAGCATCCTGAACAGTTGAATGAAGTAAAATTTTTAAGGAAAGCAAGCAAACTCTGAGTGCACAATGCAAGGGGGGGTCGCGCTGATCGGGTTTCCACAGCTCAGGCGGGTTGCAGAAATTTCTGGCTGATAGGGGTCGCTCAAGTTGCAAATTGGCGGCGGCCTGACATCTTTCTTTGCAAAGGTCTATAGACCTTTGCAAAATTCGCCTTCTGCGGGCTGCCATCTTTGTCTGCTGCAGTGGGCTGTGGAAGGCATTCTGAGCATGCGCTGTTGCTCTGCTGTAAAGTATATCAGACGCTTCGCATGCGTCCACAGCTCAGTGACTCGGCATTTTTCGCCCAGGTGATAAGCGATGCAAAGGTCGATTGGCCGTTGTAGAACGTTTATTCGTCGCAACTTGAATTGATGAAATCCCTCAGTAACATCAAACTTTTTCCCTGAGAGGGCAAGGGAGGGTTCGCTGAGGCGTACAAAAGGCAGGTTTTCCAAGAAGCTCCCTGGCTGAAGTTGCAGAAGGATTGTTAAAGACATTCAAAGGGGCAAACCAACAGGCAAGAGAAAAGCCTAAAATGAGACCTGCGATTAATTCCTTACTTGCATGCCATCTCCCACCATTTCAAAAAAGTTGCACATCGTTTCATAGTTCCGGTGGTATCTTAAGCCCCCGATAATATGGTGCGTCTGTGCCGCAGAATCAAGAGTCCCCAGCCAATTAAAGAGCAGTGCAGGATAAAACGTCGGACCAGATATGCTCAGTGTGCCATGGGAGTGGTGTACGAGATACCGCTGACTTGTGGTCCCGTGTATACATTGGTCAGACGAGTAGTTGTGTGAATGACAGTGCACGCGAACATGCGGCAGCCATGAAAGCAAACCTTCTGGTAATCTCGCCATCCACTGTAGTCGTTGCCGATGCTCACCAGTTCTGCATGATGTTAAGATTCCAGAGAAATATAAAAAAATATGTGCCGAGAAAAAGTGCGCTCCGTGTTGTCGTTACCCTCTTCATTTTGTCCCTGTCCTTCCGCGCTTCTATCCGGTCATGAACCAACTAGCCCAACTGGACATTTTGTTGGGCCGAGAGGTACGCGAGGCCTTGGAGATTAGGGCAAAAGGAAACGAGTGCGTTAGCGAACCCTCCCTTACCCTCTCGAGGAAGAGCCTGATTTTATCGAGGGGTTTCATCGATTGGTGTGACGAATAAGCGTTCTACAACGCCCTATATTATGTGTTTTTCTTAAATAAGCTCTAGCTGCGAGTACGACTTGTGCTGTTTCCACTCCTCTTTGTACCTGTCGTTTTTGGTGCTTTTGTGTATTTGACAATCACGAAGCGTGAGCAAAAGCAGCCACTCCCTGCTTTTCTTCTGCTTTCAGTAACTCCTCAATGGGTTTGCTTCCAGTACAGCGGGGGGGGGGGGGGGGGGGGGGGGGGGGGGAGGGAGGGAGGGAGGGAGGGAGGGAGGGGGAAGGGGGACTATACACTTTGATTCTAAAACGTTTTGTCAATTCGGGCAAGCGTCAAGCCAACCATTTATTCCAAGTCGTATTTGATTCACGCAGGTCGTCTTAACAATCCTGTCTTGGAGCCGGATTCTTGGAATTTTTGGAGTTTCGGGCTTTTCCTGTGCAGTTCTCGGGCTGCTGGCCACGACTACGATTACGGACGCAGTACATCTAGTGCGGAATCTTTTCCAACGACAGGCACGTATTTCAGCTCGATTCACATGGTGCTGTCTTGCTTTCAAATTCGCAGCTGCGACGTCGGGCACCGTAGCTTCCCCCGGAACTTCTTTTTTTTTTTTCCGCACAAGCGAAGTCGCAATTGCGGAATCGGGGGTAAAATCGCACCAAGTGAATCAGACTTTAGACTTTCGTGGAATACAGCGCACGCTCTGAAATGAACTGCCGGAAGACAAGACCGCACCAGGGCCCGCTCCAGAGTAGAGACACAAAGAGCCATCTTGATGCTTAGAGGGATAGTGAACCGAAATTAGGATTTTGCAAAGTAATGCCGTAGAGGTGTTGAACGGGACGCTACGAACACCAAAACCTCACTCATACATCGATATGTCAAACGGATAGTCGTATTTCTGGAAAAGAAGGACTCGATCAAGCGAGGGCTCTAACGTCACGATCCTCCTGGAACAGTTGAGAATAAGGGGAAGCGAAGTCGCTTCTCCCATCCTCGCTTCGGTTCACGAGCTCGGCGGGACGTAGCGAGGAGGAGAGGGAATGAGAATCGTGGCGTCACATGTCTCGTCGGCCTCGTCGGCCGTGTTCAGTCGCGCATTTCTTTTCCAAAAATCCGGCCATGGGTTAGAGAAATCGCTGTATGAGTGGTGCCTGCGACCAATCGGTATCTATGTGCGCTGCGCTTCATCGAGTTTCCTACGCCCGACACCGGAGGATTACAGAGCCTTCAAAACCATCGTCGCCGGGTGTCTGTTGACGCTGCGACGACATATGCCGAAGTTGTAGGCCACCTAAGAGGCACGTATATATTATTGAAACCAGCAGAACATATGAAAGGTAGTACGTTAGCTTCTTCAATGTGGTCAGTTATGACATAGAGTACAAGACCTGAGCCTTTTTCTCCTAAACGTCGCCAGTAGTGAATCCACGCAGTGCCGTCTACCTCGCGTCAGCGTCGTCGCCAGCGCGTCGTGCTAGCGTCTCACAACGAGCACGACGCTATGTCAGGTAGCGACGCCAAGACGAACGCGCCTGCCGCTTTGCGGCGACTTCCGTCGAGCTTCAGCCTGTTTGCCGCTTGGGGCGGGATCCACTAACGATGACGTCACGCACAGGCATGGGCGTCCGCAGAGGGGTGCAAGGGGGGGGGGCAGTTGCCCCCCTCTGGATTTTTGAGGGGGCTGCAAGAAGGGGAGGGGGGAGCTGTACCCACACCAGTTAATGGGTCGAGCTTCAGCCTGTATGCCGCTTGGGGCGGGATCCACTAACGATGACGTCACGCACAGGCATGGGCGTCCGCAGAGGGGTGCAAGGGGGGGGGGGCAGTTGCCCCCCTCTGGATTTTTGAGGGGGCTGCAAGAAGGGGAGGGGGGAGCTGTACCCACACCAGTTAATGGGTCGAGCTTCAGCCTGTATGCCGCTTGGGGCGGGATCCACTAACGATGACGTCACGCACAGGCATGGGCGTCCGCAGAGGGGTGCAAGGGGGGGGGGCAGTTGCCCCCCTCTGGATTTTTGAGGGGGCTGCAAGAAGGGGAGGGGGGAGCTGTACCCACACCAGTTAATGGGTCGAGCTTCAGCCTGTATGCCGCTTGGGGCGGGATCCACTAACGATGACGTCACGCACAGGCATGGGCGTCCGCAGAGGGGTGCAAGGGGGGGGGGCAGTTGCCCCCCTCTGGATTTTTGAGGGGGCTGCAAGAAGGGGAGGGGGGAGCTGTACCCACACCAGTTAATGGGTCGAGCTTCAGCCTGTATGCCGCTTGGGGCGGGATCCACTAACGATGACGTCACGCACAGGCATGGGCGTCCGCAGAGGGGTGCAAGGGGGGGGGGGCAGTTGCCCCCCTCTGGATTTTTGAGGGGGCTGCAAGAAGGGGAGGGGGGAGCTGTACCCACACCAGTTAATGGGTCGAGCTTCAGCCTGTATGCCGCTTGGGGCGGGATCCACTAACGATGACGTCACGCACAGGCATGGGCGTCCGCAGAGGGGTGCAAGGGGGGGGGGCAGTTGCCCCCCTCTGGATTTTTGAGGGGGCTGCAAGAAGGGGAGGGGGGAGCTGTACCCACACCAGTTAATGGGTCGAGCTTCAGCCTGTTTGCCGCTTGGGGCGGGATCCACTAACGATGACGTCACGCACAGGCATGGGCGTCCGCAGAGGGGTGCAAGGGGGGGGCAGTTGCCCCCCTCTGGATTTTTGAGGGGGCTGCAAGAAGGGGAGGGGGGGAGCTGTACCCACACCAGTTAATGGGTCGAGCTTCAGCCTGTATGCCGCTTGGGGCGGGATCCACTAACGATGACGTCACGCACAGGCATGGGCGTCCGCAGAGGGGTGCAAGGGGGGGGGCAGTTGCCCCCCTCTGGATTTTTGAGGGGGCTGCAAGAAGGGGAGGGGGGAGCTGTACCCACACCAGTTAATGGGTCGAGCTTCAGCCTGTTTGCCGCTTGGGGCGGGATCCACTAACGATGACGTCACGCACAGGCATGGGCGTCCGCAGAGGGGTGCAAGGGGGGGGGGCAGTTGCCCCCCTCTGGATTTTTGAGGGGGCTGCAAGAAGGGGAGGGGGGGAGCTGTACCCACACCAGTTAATGGGTCGAGCTTCAGCCTGTATGCCGCTTGGGGCGGGATCCACTAACGATGACGTCACGCACAGGCATGGGCGTCCGCAGAGGGGTGCAAGGGGGGGGGGCAGTTGCCCCCCTCTGGATTTTTGAGGGGGCTGCAAGAAGGGGAGGGGGGAGCTGTACCCACACCAGTTAATGGGTCGAGCTTCAGCCTGTTTGCCGCTTGGGGCGGGATCCACTAACGATGACGTCACGCACAGGCATGGGCGTCCGCAGAGGGGTGCAAGGGGGGGGCAGTTGCCCCCCTCTGGATTTTTGAGGGGGCTGCAAGAAGGGGAGGGGGGAGCTGTACCCACACCAGTTAATGGGTCGAGCTTCAGCCTGGTTGCCGCTTGGGGCGGGATCCACTAACGATGACGTCACGCACAGGCATGGGCGTCCGCAGAGGGGTGCAAGGGGGGGGGCAGTTGCCCCCCTCTGGATTTTTGAGGGGGCTGCAAGAAGGGGAGGGGGGAGTGTACCCACACCAGTTAATGGGTCGAGCTTCAGCCTGTTTGCCGCTTGGGGCGGGATCCACTAACGATGACGTCACGCACAGGCATGGGCGTCCGCAGAGGGGTGCAAGGGGGGGGGGGCAGTTGCCCCCCTCTGGATTTTTGAGGGGGCTGCAAGAAGGGGAGGGGGGAGCTGTACCCACACCAGTTAATGGGTCGAGCTTCAGCCTGGTTGCCGCTTGGGGCGGGATCCACTAACGATGACGTCACGCACAGGCATGGGCGTCCGCAGAAGGGTGCAAGGGGGGGGGCAGTTGCCCCCCTCTGGATTTTTGAGGGGGCTGCAAGAAGGGGAGGGGGGAGCTGTACCCACACCAGTTAATGGGTCGAGCTTCAGCCTGTTTGCCGCTTGGGGCGGGATCCACTAACGATGACGTCACGCACAGGCATGGGCGTCCGCAGAGGGGTGCAAGGGGGGGGGCAGTTGCCCCCCTCTGGATTTTTGAGGGGGCTGCAAGAAGGGGAGGGGGGAGCTGTACCCACACCAGTTAATGGGTCGAGCTTCAGCCTGTTTGCCGCTTGGGGCGGGATCCACTAACGATGACGTCACGCACAGGCATGGGCGTCCGCAGAGGGGTGCAAGGGGGGGGGCAGTTGCCCCCCTCTGGATTTTTGAGGGGGCTGCAAGAAGGGGAGGGGGGAGCTGTACCCACACCAGTTAATGGGTCGAGCTTCAGCCTGGTTGCCGCTTGGGGCGGGATCCACTAACGATGACGTCACGCACAGGCATGGGCGTCCGCAGAGGGGTGCAAGGGGGGGGGGCAGTTGCCCCCCTCTGGATTTTTGAGGGGGGTGCAAGAAGGGGAGGGGGGGAGCTGTACCCACACCAGTTAATGGGTATACCGGCGTTTTTTTAGCTACCCAGGCCAACTACATTTTCTGAATCCTATGAATTTACTGTTCCCAACATGCTATTTAGTATCTGAAAATGCTAACATGGTTATTAAAAAAAAAATTTAAACGGCAAAAAAAAAATAAAAAGAATTGCCAAGGAAGTTTTCATTACGCCGCTCGCGAGACCGACGAAACTTGCTTTCTACACGTTGTGCCTTTTTCCTGCGTCACTGCGCTTCCGTAAAAATGTCCACGTGTTCTCAACGGCAAGTCTCACGGCATACACTTGGTTTAAAAAAACTTGTTCGGCGAATTATGACAAACTAGTAGAGAATGTCTTCAGCATGCTGCCGCCAGCCTCCGAAACGCTCCAAAAATGCAATTTTTTGACATGCAAGATTGCCGTCCGGGGGCTTCACTCGCGGGAGCGGGATGCGCGATCCAGCAATGGTCATTGAAATTAGTGGTTTGTACAAGGAGGTTCGAAGTACTAGGAGGGGGCACGTTGCAATATTAGTGAAGCCTAGTCATAAAAAGTTTAAACGATGTTGTGGCCAACGTGACCGTAAATCTCTCTGGCAATTGGTGCGCGTGACATGTCACGTGTGAGATGGACGGTTGATTGTAGAAGGATTCCTTCCAGGCTTGCGCGCGCTCCGTCCGGTATGTCTTACCAGATCGAAGGCTAGACGAAGGCTAGCTACGGTCACGTGATGTGGTCACGTTGGCCTGATAAGTGAGGAGAGTAAGAAGGAAAATGAGGAAGAGGCGAGGCGTCAAGGGAGCATGGCTTGTGGAGGCTACGCGGCTGGCGTCATGCATTCTCCTACCCTTCTATCCTCCCTGGGTTTGTAGCCCCAAATCTAGGGTGCGGCCGTGGAAGCAGGTAGAGAGTGATGTGGAAACCTGCTGAAAATATCCAACATCGTCAACAGTCTGGGATGGGAGGGGGGGGGGGGATAAGTATGTACCCCCCTGGAAAAAGTTCTGCGGACGCCCATGCGCACAGGCGTTCTCTTCCGGGTGGTATCGAGCTAACCCGGTCATTCTCACGTATACTTTCAGGATGCCATTGTATGGTCCACGCCGCTCGAGGACTCGCAGGTCGTCGTAATCACGGCCGTGGCTGTCCTGATGTGCGGATGTTTCCTGGGTGCCGGGCTCCAAGACACCGTCCTCAGGAGGTCGTCCAAGTCGCGCAAGGTGACGTACCCCCCCCCCCCCCCCCCATACACACACACAGTTAGCCGCGGTCACGCTATGCTATGATAGGTACACATCACACAAAAGGCAGTCGGCCGACACCGTCTGGGGCTTGTTTCTTACGTGTATCCTGCCACACTGGTCAGTCATAGAAAAAAACTATCTTCTGCAGACGTGTTTCAAGCATACTTATGTAAAAGCAAACACGCTTGGAACAGGCTTCAGGCGTGTCCGCTCAAAAGGCGGAACGCAAGTTCGTCTGCCTCTTTTGCATGGGTTGTGGTGACGTCAGAACTCCGAGCTCTGAGTGGCTCTGATCGAAGGATAGTGGGTAGACCTCAAAGCATGCTGCCTTATACCCACTATGCTTCAATCAAAACCAATTGGAACTCGGCGTTCTGACGTCACCACAACCCATGCAAAAGAAGCAGACGAACTTTCGCTCTGCATTCTGTAATGATGAGTGCAGGGAACACCGTGTCTGTTGTATGATGCACTAGCAATGGGACTGTGGCTTAAAGGGCTAGTGCAACGATTGTAATGTAGAAGGAATTTGCACATTGGGTGCTTTAAATTGTTTATCTAAACACAATGACAAAAAAAGAAAAAAAACATCTTTTCACTTTTCCCCTGAAAACTGCTATTCCGTCGCGTAATCGCGAAGGAAAAAAAAAATATTTTTTTGCCGATCTGTAGCCGCGTGTGGCGTTTACGGCAGTTATGGTGACACGTTTTATGGGGCTCACGCGGAAGTCAACAAAACCTGTCTCCCCCGCGGCAACAGTCGCCGTCAGCCCAGGGGCGGATCCAGACCTCCATTTTGGGGGGGGCGGTTCCTCGGCGTAAAACGGGGGGGGGGGGGGGGGGGGGAGTGTCTATATTTTTTGTGGAGCCATCGTTTTTACTAAACTCTGATAACATAATATAGATCTTGAGAGCTTTTGTATCGGTTTACCTTTAGGGGATGAACTCTTTGAACTTTCTGTGGCTATGCACACCAAGGCACACGCTCCCGTACTTTTGACTGCATAGCCTCAGAAAGCTGGGCATCTGGCCAACGCAATGTCTCTGCTCGTGCGGAAAATCACGTGCAATTGCAAGCCTACCAAAGCTATATTCACGTGCACGCCACACGTGCCTGCTCGTATGAGGCACCAGTCAGGACGCTACACTGTAGGGTCCTGACAGTAAATTTGACCGTAAAATTTACGGTCAAATACCAGGCAGCTGATGCTGCCAAACTTGTACAGTAAAAATAACGGTGCACTGTAAATCTGGTTTACGATAAATTTAAACGGGGACCCTAGAAATCTACGGTCGGCCTTCAGATTTGCGGTAAAAAAAAATTTACAGCGCGCCGTTATTTTTACGGTGCAATTTAAACGGCGAGAAAGGTGGTAGTATTCAGGTTCATAACATTATTGTATAGTGATGTTACGAACTCAATGATGTTATGAACCTCGACTGAACCAAGCACGTTTTGAAGGCTTTCAGCAAGTTGGCCGAACATGTATTGTTTGTACAAGAAATGCCGACGTTGAAATTCATAAATGGTTTTTTGAACTGTTGATACCGGCATAAGAAGCGTTCCGTTAAACTTCAGGTACAAAAAAAAAAAAACAAAAAAAAACAAGATCGTATTTTACGGCCTTCCTTTTTCTCCTGCAGACAGAGACATTAACACGTCGTAGTTATCATTAGGGGATTTCATCACGTTAACAGCACCGTCTTCATTAGAATCCGCACTAGTCGACCGAGTCGAAGAGTCCTCAACCTGAAGCGGGCCTGCAGGCGATGCGCCGTCGCCTAAGAAACCCGTCACTCGTAAATGCGCCCAGTTCAAATGTGCCGTGATCGAACCATGATTTCACACCTTCTGACAGTTGGAGCACGAACACGAAAACAAAATACTGTCGGTGATGTGGCCTTTTAGATGTTTTAGCAAAGCCTCCCTTGAGTGGCACTCCTCTAGGCATGGTGGCAAAGTGCACTGAAAGCTTTCCAAACTCCTCGAAACAAACCAAACTTCCCTTAGGCGTACCAATGCCTATGTCTTCTCAAAATATGACACCTGAGAGCATCATACGTAACAAACTGGCGACAGCATCCTTCGTCCACACACGGAAGAATTCGAGAGCTGAAAATGTGCTCATCGAATTGCACAACCATCAAGCGTGCTTGAACAGAAACTACAAATTCTGCAAGTAAACATTTTTTAGAGTGTTGTATTTATGCCACCATTACACTATCCTTGCCAATCAAGCAGCAGATTGATAGTGAAATACCTGCCTCGAGTATCCAGTTGCCTTCCGCTCCAAATTTTCAGGTGCACAAAAATCCGGGAATGCCACAAACGAACGAGGACAAAATGGCGCGGAGACGGGTGGGAAGGCGGGAAAATGAAGTGAACGTCAGCTTTTTCCACTTCTTACCGCGTTGTCCCAACCAACGTTCCTTTCTTTTGTTTATGCTTCTAGCTCGTCGCATTGTTGCTCTACTGTTTGCTCTTAGTTCTCTTTTTTTCTTTTTTTCAGTTAAGGCAGTTACGTTCTGCGTTGGCGCGACTGGACTGGCGCGGACAAAGAAAGGAGGTGAAGGGGCGAGAGGAGACTCTCTGGGTTCCCGCAGCTTCCGAAAGGTCAAGCGTGGTGACCAATTAGCGAAGCGCGTCTTTTCTTTCTGTTTTCTTGGTCCATGAAGTTTTGCCAGTGTTGCCAGGTCTACTGATTTATCAGTAGATCTACTGATTTCGTTCCGGGTCTACTGATTCACTGAAAAACAAGGAAATCTACTGACTTTTTTTTTAGTAAACATATTAAAAAATTATTATATGGCCCCTTCAGTTCCCAGTGTCGCCCATCAAAGGAAACTCATAATGTCCCAGAATTAAAAACGAAGCACTGGCTAGATGGCCCAGAAGCCCGCCCTATTCGAGTGACGTAGTCGTATATTCATCTATCTATTCACCCAGAGCAGGTTTGGCAGGTTCGGCGGTGACATCCGGGCCAGAGCCATATATGGAGAGAGTTTGGCTAGTCTATGATCTCGCCGTAACGTCCCTCTCCCGAGTGAGCCAATCAGCCCGCGGCGCAGAGCGAGAGGTGTTTGCGCATGCGCCTGAACTCTCGGCTGCTCCTATACAATCTACTAGAATAGCTTCGAGTTGAGCGGAGAGAGCCGCAATTTTCATTCATTCGTTCGGCGGAATGCATGGGATCGACATCCAAATTTTAGTTATTTTCTTTTATTTGGCAGGCTGTGGCAAGAAAATGATATAATCGTATTCCTCGGTGGCTTAAAAAGCTAACGAATGAAGTTTCTCCACGTTTCAACGCAAACTTTGGGTCAGGCGAAAAAGAAATAAGCCCGTAGCAGATAACGCGTAGCCTCAACAGTGCTCCGGACCAACAGCGTTGCTTCAAAAACCTTCCACAGCCCAGTAAGGAAAGATGGCAGCATGTAGAGGACTTCCATTGGACATGTTCGCGCGCACTTGCCGGAGCGTCTTGTTTCGGTTTCTTTTTCAATAATAGCGACAGGTGAACGTCGCACTGTCGCCTTCATCTGTGATCCCAAAAGTGCCTTAGTCTTGATTTCGAAGAATAATCCTCGAAACAGTCAATAATGACTAAAACAAAAACATTTATGGTGCCATTTTAATTTGTCCTTCATATAAAGTTACTTGAGAACTGGTCTTGTTTTTTTCTTTCATTTTTATTTGTGTTTATTACCATGTTAGTTGTTACTCTATACTATTTCTTTGAAGTGTGTATTAATGGAGATAGCAAAACATGGCAAAACACATATTTCGTGGAATCTACTGATTTTTGTGCAAATCAACCGACTTTTTGGGGATCAATCTGCTGACTTTTTTTTTCTCCATCTGGCAACACTGAGTTTTGCGTTTCCCTCTCGGTTTTTTTGCTCGTTTACGGTGCATTTCAGATAATTCCTCTTCACGGCGTACTTGTAGTTTTTATTAGCGTATAGCGCCGTAAATTTGACGGTTACTTTTTACACTGTATGCTTTCGAAGCTAAGCGCTTGTGGGCCCGAGCATGCTGGGCGCCGATAAAAGCTGCGCATAATGCCTGGTTACTACTACTGATATGTCAAAAAACACCTCGACCGCACGAACACTCGTGTGGGGGAAGCTCCAAAACTAATAATTGCGTTTGTCCAACGTGAAGTAGGGTAAGATGGGCCAAATGAGACGCGGGGAAAAATGCGACAGTTGGAGTGAAGGCACCCAACGAAAGTTTTTGTTTAGTGCCTGCTATCACCTAGACACAAGTTTCAAGCTTCACTGAGACGTGCCTTAGCCTGTTTGTTCACTTTGCGTGAGCCATAAATGACTGCCTTTGGCAAGTCCTTTCCGGAGAAAAAGAAATGCCGATTTGAGATTGCCGAGTTTACCGCCCGTCAAAGAGGTGCATAATTCCGCGCGAGATTTCGCTTCGAGAAGTACGCACCGGTTGGCACAGACTTTCTACCAAGGTATAATTTAATTTCATTCCTAAGTTTTATTAGCTTCATGCAGACCAAATTTGAGAGTTCAGCGTGCTTTTTTTTTTTTACGGAAATAATTATTCACGTAACGGGATACGCGCGAGACAAAACGCGACAATGTGGCATTGTATGACGCGTGTGTCAATAATGTACCAGTTTCCTGGTTGTTCCTGAGTCATATTTTCCTCTCGGTGTCTAGGAGGATCAAAACGTACAAAAGAAAGACAACAGGGGCTTCATGGCGCATAAGTAACACTACGAATGCTCTTGAAAGTGAAGCAACAGCGTCATTCCCTTCGCGTTACCGCCACACTTTTTGGCGTACCAAGGGATGTGCTTCAAAAGCGAGCAAAAAGACAAAAAATAAGAAAAACAATGGCTCCACAAAAAAAAAAAAATGGCGAGGCGTTTGGGGGGGGGCGATCGCCCCCACCGCCCCCCCCTTGGATCCGCCACTGCGTCAGCCCCGAACCGTCTTTTGTGTCGATCGCTCGCCGCGACATTCAATGCTGATAATTCTTGAAAAGTCGATAATCGCGGAGCAGGCGGCTGGGCTTTCCGAAGAAAGAACCCAACGAGAAACCGAGTGGTTCCCTGAAGTGCGTCACTCGAAAGACAACGTGGGAATCGAAAGTCACTTTTTTTTTTTTTTTGTTTAAATTTTAATATAAAACTAGCGCGCGAGAGAAAATACGGTATTCTGTTCTTCGTTTCGTACGTGACAAAACTTTCTTCCCGCAGTTAATTGAACGAAGTCCGAAAATCGTTGCAGCGCCCCTTTAAGGTAGGATATACAATGCGTAGAGTAGAGTGCGGAACACAGTGGTGCTTGCAGTGTACCATAGACGTAGGGTACACAGCGGGACGCCATTGCGCGAAACTAACATCGGCGTTTTTTTGGCTTTTGAGTTCCAAGGCGGTATTGGCGGGCTCCAAAAGAGTTAACGCTCTTGTCAGTACTTTCAATGAGTTCTATAAGAACGGCAGGAGGGGGTTTCAGTTGTCCCGCCTTCAGCGCGAGCTTTCTACCTTTGATAACGCCTCGGTTTTTCGTGATCCTCGATCGTGCAAAAGCAAGCAGAGTATTAAACTTACAAAAAAAAAAAGTTATTTTATTTTGTTTTGTTTTTAATTCTGTCATGTCAGATGACGAAGTAGGTACCTGAACAAAAAATGCGTAGATTGATACGATGCGTCCAAGTTGCTAGCCATGGGATAAAAAGAAGAAAAAGAATGCTTCCGGTTTACTGCTCAACTGAACTTAGATTAAAGATCGTGTTTGAGGGGACACTAACACCACGCCAAAATTTTTTGTTATTTTTTTGCCAGGCGATTTAATCTGGTGTCAGGAGGATACCCAATCAATATTTTGCTACAGAGTCAAGTATATTTTTAATAAAGCCAACAAACTTAACTACTCGAAACCGAAACCAACACACGAGCACGGAAGCTCATGGCCGGAAGTCGCGTCGCAACACCCGACCGCGTTTTCCCCCCCGCTTTTCTGACGTGCGAAACAGACGACGACGACGACAAAAGGGACTTTTATCAAACCTAAACTGTGTTGCGCGTACCGCACTACCGGAACATTTGAAGCATACTTTTAAGCGCGCGCCCGGGTGACGCCGTAACCGCGGGGCGCGCGCTTAAAAGCATGCTTCAAAGGCTCTAGTAGTCCGGTACGCGGAATACGGTGACGGCTCGCTAAAAGTCCCTCACTTTGCGTATACCGTTTGTCATGCGACTATTTCGCATTTTTATCCCTTCCGGTCAATGTTCTCCGTTTGAAGATCAATTGGCCGGTGCAACGAACGACAGTTCCGAAGTAGCGTCCCCACGTCCATCGCAACGTTGAACCGTCGTGCGCGGCATCACGTCATCCAGCCCTCGGTACGCCGCCATATTGGGAGTGACGTGTGCATGTACTTCCTCTGATCTGTGCGACATCCTTTTTCCGACCAGCGTATTTGCAGCTTTTTGGAGGTCACAAAAATAAAGTTTATATTCTTTTCTATTTTTAATATTGAATGTGGGGCTTGATGACACACGGCTTTTAATATATGTGGCACACACAGTTTAAGTGCGACGTGACCATGGATAAAAAAGTGAGCGCGACAGAAAAAGGTCGATCCTCTACTAGCTGTTTTCGGGCGAAAGCAAAACGTATTTCGAGCCGCAAACTGTGTTTTGGGTAGTTGGACTCATATAGGTCACGTTCAGATAAATACCTCGGCGAGTGCAAATACCCTGTCACTGTCCCTTTAATGATGTACCCAGCTGCTCCACTACATTTCTGTATGTATATAAACTCTGACTGGGGGAAAACTGAATTTTTTTCGCACAGAGAATGGAGGCATTTCTAGACGCCTGCATAGATTACAATCATCATGCACATTTCTTTTTTGCGTACTGTAGTGTGCTTCTTGTTGCAGGCCAAGTTTCTGGACCGCGATGAAGACAACATGTCGACCTTCGCTAGACTCTGCTGTGTGCTTCTCATACCGTAAGTACTTCGAAATTCCAATATCCACAGTGGAACCTGCTGTTATAGCCACATTTCCCGCTCCAAGGGACAGAACAGTTTAGGCAGGTTCGGAGCCTGCCTTATGTGTGTCCGTTCACAACGGACGCTTTTGAAAATAGCGTGCCATCGAACTGCTGCACCAATCCTCAGAGTCTGTCATTGTTTGGGCACGTAATCGCAGGTTTCGTGCCCAAGAAATGACGACCACCAATGTTGCTCGATGAACTTTTGAAAAGGGCCTATTGCCATAAAGAATAATTTTTTAAACGGAAGCCATACCATAATTCTTTGCGCCACTTTTTAATTGCTGTCCGTTAGCGTGACCTTATAAGCTGACTTCAAGTCCCAGTTGTGGGAATTCGTCACCAGATTTGAATGATCAGGAAAGCGTAGACAGGTTGTGATGAGTGATTAGTGCTGAAGTGAAGGACGAGTCCGAGAACTCATGTAGGACTATAGACAAGAGGCTGTCTTTGGAGACCCCATTTCAACTTCTCCGAGAAACTAAAGGAATAAAAAAAGAAAGTCAACAGCAAGGCACGAATTTAGCGAAGTTGTTTATAGCGTGAACTTTGACGACAAACAGCGAGACACACAAAACGAGGACCAAATGTGAGAGCCAAGACATATACACAGTGCTGTGTGTCTCTCCCTACTTTAATAAATGCTTAGTTTTTTGGAGATTTTGGCTACTTTATTTGTGGGTGCCTCATTGCTAATGTTGTCTTCGTGTCGTCTTGTTTTCATTTTTCAGTTTGTCGTCAAAGAAGTGATATACGGGCAATCAATGACAAAACGGATGGGAATACTAAAAAATTAAGGATATGAAAAAATAAGAAAAGAAAGAAAACGAAAGTAGCGTTTGCTGACAATGTTCGTTTGCCGACCAATGCATTGAGTGTGGTTTCTATATTTCGCCCCATTTTATGAAGAATTCAATTTTATGGAACTTTAAGGCCGCCCGCAGCCGCAGTTATTGGACTTGATCTCGAGTTCGAACGTCCGCCCTGGCGAACGTGTGCCCTACCAAACTCTATGGCTGCGCTCGTGTGCAATCGTTCGATGGGAAGACCTGCCCAAAGTTACCCTTTTTGACCACCAGTCGCGCTAATGAGCAGCCAATAGAGGCGCCCCCTTTTTAGTACTAACCTGGGGCTCTCTGTTCCTATTATTTTAAATCTTGAGCGTCACATTCTCGGCGCTTTATATATTCCTCGCATGCGCCGACCTTGGCGATGCTTTCCTGCATGCGGTATTGTGTAAAGAGTTTCCCATACTTCTCATCGACCAAGTCGCTCTCTGTGGACACATTTTCAGGCTTTTCAAGGTCACCATAAAGGGAGGCAAACCGTCGGACGAATACCTGCCTCGACATCGTGGTACCCTGCGCTGCCGAGACATCGTAGACAGACTGCACTCATTATTGAGGTAAAAAAACACTTAAAACATTGTCATATTCATACGCATGCAAGCAAGAAGTTTTCCAGTCGTACTAAGCCGGAGTCACGTTGGTCCTACATGGTACAAAAAAAAAAACAAATAAAAAAGCACGGTGCTTCTTGCTGACATGATGACAAACACGTCTGCGGACGCGCATGGAGCACGTTCTAAGCATGTTTGCTTTATGCATGTGTCGAGCCTGGCTGCAGACAGTTTTTGTACCACCAATGTTACAGGACCATCGTACAAAAATACAGGCCTCAAATAGTGTCTTGTATACTGTGTTTTCTAGGAGGTATTAGCGGTGTGACCACGGTCCTGGGGAGTTTTGGGATGACGAGCACTCGCGCGCTTTGCGTATACCCACTGGGCAGTCAAGTTTGCTTCGACACGTGATATATGCCATCTTATAGATGATTTCCGCAACCGTGAAACGTCCTGCGGTCCGCGATCATTGGATAATATCACGAGCTCGAGTCTCCGAGTGCCCACTCTGACGCGGAGCCCGTGCCCAATATCGTTCGGTATAGCTCGACGGCCTTCCCAAAGTTACCTTTTTCGCCCTCAGCCGCGCTTACGATCAGCCCACCGAGTTGCCTCCTCTTCGCTGCCTTAAGTATATATATATATATATATATATATATATATATATATATATATATATATATATATATATATATATATATATATATATATATATATATATATATATATATATATATATATATATATATATATATAAAATAGCGTCATCAGCACTGCGCAAGCGCCGAACCCAAACAGTTTTTTTTTTTCGTTTTGAGAGCGCATTCGCGTGTTTATTCGGAAATTGCGTGGGCACACCCAAACTTGACCCGAAACGCTTGCCGTTGCTCTCGCGAGGCGCTAAAAGTTGTGAGAGGGCCGAAGCCAAGACAAGCCGCGTTCTAATCCAATGCCAAGTGTGACCACGGCTCGGAGCGAAATCGAAGGTGAGAAGGAGATATCCTATGTCACTCTCTACTCACTGTCTCCCTCCAAGCAGAGCTGGTCGCTCTGACGTCATGGTATCCTCCTTTCCTTCAGCTTCCCTCCGTAAAGCCGCCTCCACACTCTAAGAAATGAATGCGCGTCTACTTAACGGCAAAACATTCGAAGAGCCAATTTTTGCGATCTACAAAATGAGCTCAGCGATTGATGAGACGGAAGAAGAAGAAAATAAATGGTGCTATGGAGAATTTGGCAGCCTTGAAATGGCGCCTTGAAATGGCGTCTCAACGGAACATCCGTTGAGACCTCAAAACTAAGTCTGCGCTGTGGCATTACGCAATGCAAAGCGTCATGCTTGCATTGCGTAAAGCCACAGAGCAGACCTCATTTTTAGGTCTAAACGGATGTTCCGACTCATCATTCGCTGAGCTGATTTTGTAGATCACAGAGATTGTCTCTTTGAGTGTTTTGCCGCTAAGTAGACGCGCAGGCATTTCTGTGAGTGCCAGAAGGGCGGCCGTCGTGACCGTGACGTCCACGGCGGCGTCCTCGCAACTGGGATGTTAGATGCAAGACGACATTGCACTCCTATGGGAGGTCCGCGCTACACGCTATTTTGAACATCCAGCAAGGTGGACAGCGATCCTCAGCAACCTGTTACAAAATCTTCTCGGCACGAGACCTCTGTTACCGAGACCAAAGTTAATCACACAGAAGAAACGACAACTATGAACCTTCTTAACGCTGAGCCCGGTAGCAGAAAAATCTCCATTGCATCTGGAATCCCAATTTATCCAAACTATGTAAAGCCCCGGGCTCAAGCCTCTCGAATTCAGAAAAAAAACGTGAAAAAGAACCACTCTATATTTATTGACGCTCTAAGACCATTCCAATATTTACAACTCCTCAGCCCACTCACTTGGCCACTTTCTGAGGCGACAAGCATGCGCGTGCTGGGCTGAGGAGATCGCACGCTGGGCTGAGGGGTTGTAAGTATGGAAATGATGTACAGACAAAACAAAAACAGCGGGGAGGTTCTGCAATAGTCCCGCCTGTAGCGCGAGCGTTCTACCATTGAAAACATTTCAGCGTCACGAGCGTGCACGCGCAGTCAAATCACCTCGACAGGCAACGAGCGTGGGACAGAGGCCGGACATCCGAGAAGCATTCCCCGCCTTTCTTATTCTGGCAGTGACCATAGATTTCCTGCCTTTTAACGAACCCGTTTGAGACCAAAACCAACCTGAATCTCGTGCAGCAAGAACGTCCGGCGCCGACTCGACTTTACGGTGGCCCTGCTGCGTGTCCTGTGGATGGACGCCTTCCGGGTCATCCTCTGCACCCTGGCCTACTTCGCCTGCCTGTTCGTCAAGGTGCCGCTGCTGGAGTGAGTCCCGTTTGAAATGTGCCAGTATTGCTTTAATTCAACTGCGAAATTCTGGTTGACACACCGGAACGCGTGCGCTTGCGCCGGAGAGTGATAAAAGACCGGCTTACTCTTCGCGCTTTCCACGCCTGCCCGCCACCTCCTTTACTATATCCTCTCCACTATTCCGCATGCCCCAACGTGACTCCCGTCGGAGACTAGGAGTAGGGGACGCTAAGAGGACTATTCTTCCCTGCTGAAAGCAAAGGCTGTACTTGGGCCTTTAAATGGATTATGAAATTAGTTTTGGGCTGGAATAAATGATTTTTTATTGGAATTTTACTAGTCGCTTATTGTTTGGTGGAATAAAAGAGAAGTGGTACACAAGGGTAGAGATAGAGAGCCAAAGGTCTGCCTATCGGAACGAAATTTCGAAAATGTGGCGGACTAATATGTAGCGGACAAGATGGCTGGGTGGACCGCCGCAGTAGATCAACATTTTCGACGATTCCATCGAACGTAATTGTCCGACGTAATCATCAACTTTCCAGTAAATCTTGGAAAGTTCAAGCCGGTCTTATAAAATTCTGGCAGAACCGAAAAAAAAAAAAACAGGACTTAGAGCTGTCCTTAAATATATAAAAAAAGCTTTCATGAAATAAATATTTATCAATTTATGTTGACAGATAGCGCAGCCCACACTGATCTGTCCGCTAGACTGCTACTCGGAAACCACAACCCTGGTCTGCTTTTACCGTGTCGTCTTCCACTAAGTGCTTGTGTCACGTACATATTCCATGAAGGTTCGAATATCCCACGACCGTGGCCTCTTACCTTCAACATAGGCCGCGATAGACGCGGATTTTTTGTCCGACACTGAAATAGACACCGAGAGACACCGAATTTCCAAGGGGAAAATCCCCCCCCCCCCTCAAAACTCGCCCCCCCCTCCGTAACTTGAAAAAAATTAAACTCCGAAAATACGTAACTCTGTATATAGCATCGTGCGCATTGGTTTCGCTTGGAACCCTTTTTTAAGGTATAGGCAAGTCTGGCACACAACCCTCGACTTTCAGTTTTACCATATAGGGGCTGATGATTGCACTTCAATGTGTCCAACGAGATGAAATGTTTCGCCGGTGAAAATATCCAATATCGGACGCATTGTCTCAATTCATATACTATTCTCTCGGTTTTGAGCTGGACGGACATTTTGACTCGATGGACCTTTTGTATCGTGGGATGTCTTGACCTGGTGGAACATTTTAACTTGACGGACATTTTGTCTTTTTGTGCAATTTGTCTTGATAGACGTTTTGTCCTTCTTGGGCATTTTGTGTCGATGGGCATTATGACACGCGTAATGTATTGCGTGGCATGTTGGGCGTTCTGACTTGACGAACATTTTGTCTGAACATTTTCTCTCGATCGCAGGGTTGACTCAATTTATATTTTGTCTCTTTGGACATTTCGTACAGTGAACGTAGGGAGCTTTGACTCAGTGAACGTAGGGAGCTTTGTAGGTATCTACCAAATTATTACCACATATCTTATCATTCGCTCATTTATTCTACCGCCGTCCTCTTTTTGTAGTCTTTTCTTCTATTTTATTTGTCGTCTTTTTTTTTTACATCTCAAGTCACTTCACTTCTCTGAACTTGAGAAGTTATCCCTTCTTGAACTGAAAAACGTTTCCAGTTGAAGCTGTCTCCATCGTCTCGTTGGGGCCCAGATACAAAATCTTCTCCACTATAGACGCTTTGCACACGCGCCAGATTACAGCCGCCATAGCTGACCTTCTCTTGCCTTACCGATATGCCGATCCACTGAAGCAGGCGCTGACGAGCCTACACAAACGCCAATGCTACGGAGAAGGACACAGTGCAAACTAAAATGACAATAACCTGTCTTGCTGTGGTAATCATGAAGTGAAGTAAAGGGAATAAGATGAAACAAAAACGGAAGGTCAGTTATGGCGGCGCCCATGCACAGCTGCTGCAAAGCGTCTATACCCTACGGCCCACAGAAATTTGCACCAGACTCAGGGTTCCTTTTCGCACAAGAACAAGCTCGTAAGCTTTTGTATTGAGGTGTTATGGTCTTCTATTAAAATTTTGCTTTATGGTATTTCGGTACCTTTGTTTTTCAGCGTCTGTTTTTGGTGCTTCCTTGAGTAGTAATTGCTCTGTTAAACTCAGCTTGAGATCGACCGGTGGAAAGGAAACCTATCCTGCGGCCACAAAAGTCGGGCTACATCCCATGACTTTGTTTATTATCTATTATGGTGAAACGCAGCCGTTTCAAGGCGGCACTTCCAGCCTCGATAAAAACATAGGGATATACTGACGTATTGCTTGATCTCTCGAATCGCTCGCTGGGCCAAACCGTTGGCTGCTGGATGATACGGGGCAAGGACTTGAGCGAGATACCTCGTTGTCGTGCCCATTGCTCAAGCTTCTTGATTCGGAAGGCTGGTTCATTCTCCGAATTTTTAACCTTAACTTGAACATTTCGGGGTGTAGAAGAGATATTACGTTGTTCGCGTCTACTCTCCCTATTCTGGCGGCCACCATTCTAGTGCCTTAATCGATGCAGAGAAGAAAGGCTTACGTCTTTCTGACTTCCTCACACTTTTTTTTCAACTCTGCAAAATCCAACAAAACCATTTCAAAAGGCTCTTCAAGTGTACTCCGTCTTTGGCTTGCTTGAACGTAGCCCTTTGAAATTGACATTTGTGACAAGACTGACTGTATTGATTTGAATCCTGCTTCATTTTTGGCCAATTGAACCTCTTGATGAGCTTTTTGTAGGTTTGCCAGAAGCGATCATGTCCCCCTGATTTTGGGCTGTCATGGTTTTTTTGTACAATGGTAAGAATCATTGAAGGAAGGACTTGGAACATGTCAGCGGTAAATGACAAATGTTCAGTGCCCTTTATAGCTTTGTTTGGTTTACTTTTTTATGGTAGTCGACCTTAAGGGGAACAAGATGCTTTGATAGATGGTCTGCGTCGGTCAACGAGGTATCAAGAAGATTTAAAATATCGAACTAAATCTGCTGAAGCTCGTTGATCACCTCTCGAGCCAGCCTTTGTGTTGTATCAAGTAAAGAAGGCATGTCCGAGCTTGGTGGTTTGTGAGCGGCTTGCACGAACGTCTTCCAAATATGAGCGAAATAGCCCGACAGCCTTCAAATTTACCAGCGATTTTTCAGTTGCCGTGTAATTTAATTCGGACTTGCTGAGCGTATATAGCTGAAGTAGCCCACCACACGAAGTTGTGCATGAGAGGGGTCTTTCGAATTGAGCTGGAAGAGCAGTTCTCCTGTTGAATGATGTGAGGATCAGCGTTAGCTCGTACGGGAGCGTGTCTGGCAAATTGAGGATTGAATCTGATGAAATGGCTTGAACCATGTCACGGGATGCTTGCTCATACTCCTCCGTCCAGTCAAAATTCGCGTCCTTCTGTGTGATTCTTGATACATTTTTCTTCAAAGCGGAGTCACTCAATGAACGTTCGAAAGTGGCCGGCAAGACTATAAGGAGCTCACGGAAAGAATGTACGTCATTTGGCTTAACCAGTTGTGAAATGCGTGTCACAGACTCTTCCTTTGTACCCTTTGTAGTGACTGCAAATATGCGGCCGAGAAATAGCTCCTGGGGCAGAATGAACTCGCTCTTCTCAAAATTAATTTTTAGTTTTGCGGAGCTAAGTGTTGTCAAGGCTTGTAATAGATGCTGTTGGGGTTCCATCTCTGTTTCGGAATAAACGATGATGTCGTGTAGACGTTTCTCAAAACTCCAAGGTACAGACTTAAGACCTGCTTCATCATATTCTGAAGCCACGCGGGAGAGGTCTTCCAGCTGAGGAGGAGGCGGTTGTACTCATACAGCTCCAAAGGGGATGTAAACGCTGTGTATATTATTGTTTCTTCTTGGAGAGAAACCTGTCAATATCCCTTGAAGAAATTAATCCATGAAAAGTGACGGCACGTACCCTTTTGTTTGATCAATGTCGGTTTCGATTCGTGGCATGAAGAACTGAGTTTAAAGCACGGTAGTCCGGTGCAGTTTCTGAAGGCTTCATCTTTGGGTGCAATGGTGATAGGTGACGTAAACAGAGACACAGAAGGTCGGATGATGTCCACATAAAGCATGTTTTGAAGCTCCTGTTCCAGCCAAGCCTTCTTTCTGGTCGTGTTGTAGGGATATTTCGCATTACTGTCTTGTCACTGATATTAAAGGGCACCGTGAGTCCTGTAGAAGCTGGAGGGTAGGGGTCAACGCCGGACAATCCGCCTTTTTTCAAATATGTGCTGCCATTTAGACACGTAACTGGTTTCGAGGCTGTTCGACACCCAAAACGTCAGCTACAACCTGTTTGCCCATTGAGCCGCTCTAACCTAGAAACGGCTCCCCAAACATCGCATTTCTTCTCATCGTAGGTTGTCTTCGGTCCCGAAGTTGATACAAAGAAACCATCTTCCCTCTCTGCTCAGCCAGAAGGAAGAGAGAGAGAGGGTACCAAATTCATTTACTGTCGAGCCGATATTTTGCAAAAGGTCTATTCAGGATGCAACTTAGGAATTTCATCAGCGGAGGCAATAAGCTTTAACGGAGCGTCTAGGTGCTTGTCGGCAGCAGATCTGCAATCGGCCGTTTTCTCGACTGTGACTTGATTGTCCATAGGAGATGTTGATTTTCAACCGTTTCATGTCCTGCAGGGATAGTCTACTCCACTAATAACCAAACCCACAATTTCAATACTTGGACCCTTGGAGCTAACGTTAACTGTTGTCCATTCTTCATATCATGTTTTTTTGCCGTCATAACTGTGACCTTGAATTTGTTTGCCCATATAGTTTCTCAGAGTGTTTGTTTGGCCCTTTTTAATTATTGATAATGAGGCGCCGCTATCGACTACGGCACACGCCTCACGTCTATTAATATAAATGGCGATCTGTAAGAGGTCTATATAAATGACATACATAATATACCAGTTACCGAAGATTTAATACTGTATGCCG